AAATCCCCGGCCAATTGTTATAGCTATTGGAGCTATATATAGCTATTTTGGTATTTCACTCATCGTGCAAGACAAGACAGAAAATTATTTTCTTTCTTGTTATATTTAAGTATTGTTTACCGTATTTATCGACCATGATAAACTGGCAGCTCTCCGCAATAAGAAATGCAGTTGCGTCAGTTTGCTGCACAAGAATGCAAGATACTTTTTTTCTCGGCTTCGTAAAAAATATGTCTGAGGAACTGAAAGTACAATATATGATGACTAGGGGCATGTTAAAATAGAAAATTGAATGAACTCGGTGAGATAAAAATCTCTCTGATCAATATTGGGGATGTGACTTCAGAAGTAAGCGGAAAATACGATGCCATCGAGATTCAAAATAAAAGTAAAGAAACTTGAACTAATTTTAGTTTCAGTAAAGGTGTATTTTATCATTTTGACTGCTAACTGTCGTTACCTTCAAAAATCTATCCATCAAAAAAGGAAAAAAATCTTGAAATTGATCCGAAGCGTTTACTTTTCGCCTGCCTGAACTGATCAGCAAATGATTCGCTTTGTACATTCATAAGGAAAGTAACATGTGAATAAAAAATATGACGTGAATTTACCCTGACAATTATCGTCCTTTCAAATCTCCCTTGTCATAGACTGGTTCCCCAGTTATAGGAAAAATTTTTCGTTCAAGACTTCACGACCGAGAGAAATCTGATCAAGACGCGAGATTGCGAAACCTGTGAATTTGATTACAGTTTCGGAGATAATTTTGACCACCGATAGTAAGTTCAATTCATACAACTACTCATCAATATTTTATTTATCGATGTGAAGAAAATATTCCGTATAAGAAATATATTAGCAACTCATCCTTAAAAAGTCGGTATTAAAATGTATTTTTGATATCGGAAAGATCCATGTTCTCTACCTTAAATATTCATTGCGAATAAACGAAACGCTGATCAAATGAACATTTCGTTTAAGCCAAAAGTCCATGTATAGCTCTACCAGTGTTTTATCAGAATTGCTACAACCTTAGTGGCTACGCTACGCAGTATTCATCCCGTGATATTCATTGATATGTGGCGAGCTGAGTTAGCAACGTAACAGAGTGGATTTGTAAATAAAATAGATCAAAATCCAGAGCCAGTCTTGTTTTAAGATTTGAATGACCATGCAGAAAATTTATGCCAAAACGATTAAATATCTCTCGTTTTCTGTGGTGATATTTGATTTCCAGCTTCGCCCGTATCAACCGTCACGCAATAGAAATCCCGAGCTCATAATCTAATTGTTAAAAAGAGTCATTCTGACTTGGAAAGAATTGAACGCATTCATCATTGTTAATACGAGTGATTAGAATCTGAAGAAACACAGATAAACGCTCAGCGATCGTCCAGGTGAAAGTAGTCCTGAAAAGCACTGACACAAGAGTCAGTGACTTGGTGATATTCCGACGACTAACCAGAAGTCCTCAACAGCGTCGAATTCCCCTCTTTAAACTGATTATTTGCATCTTCCGCCGGCAAGATCACACAACACGAATGATGTCATTAAATTATGCCTAAAACTAGATAAGATTTACGTAAATATCGTAAACGTGTACGATGAAATATTGAAGGGAAAATATATCTGACTCCAGTGACGCAAAAAACTTAAAGACAGCACTTTTGTAATGTATGCTCTCAAAACGCGCCAATATGAACGCCCTTCGTCTATCTTGGCTAATAGCAAGATAAACCTTGAAATGTCACCTTCGTTGTAACTGAGACTATATATCGCCCTTTCACCTTCCCAAAATGTCAAATAGGAGATATTGTTTAATTTAACACCAAATACTCAGAAGTTGCACAGCAGTTAACATTGATTATGTATTTTTTACTCAATATAACACTGAAAAATATTTCCCCGAAGCCGCAAACGAGAATATCGCATCACCTGACCTTAGACCTCAATATAAAGGTAGGTGATATAATAAGATCTGGCATCAAAATGATTTTGAAGTTCGAATTCCCAATAAACACCTCAACCCTTTCACTCCCAAGATCTCATTAGTAATCCTCCTTACTCTCTGCTATACCACTCTTATGAAGTTACTTCAGAGATTTTGGTATTGAATCAACTAACATTCCCTCAATTGATATTTTCTTCATTCTCATCACTTTTCTGTTTAATATCGTGTTGATACTGTAAGCGGAAATTCTGTCTTGGTCACTCATGGGAGTTTAAGTGTTAAATGTATATTTGCCTCGGGTAAAAATTGTGTTTATTATCATTTTCGGTATATTCCTTGTACAGTTTTTTTTTCTTTAAGAGTTTGCAACGTACAATGCCACGAAGACGTGTTTTCAGGTCCATTGCTTGTCAGATGTTATAGAAGGTAACTTAACCAGATTTTCTGCAAATTCGGTTTTCTTCCATAGTGGTTTTGAGGACGGTTTTAAGAAACTAGTGCAATGTGTGCATTGATCGAACATCCCTTTGCCGGTTTCCCAAAATTTTGCTTGCTCAAGGGCGGTGAAACTCTGAATTTAGATTTCAGCTGTTCGTTAATTCTTTGAACCTGTATGTTGCTAGCGAGGGTATATTCGTGTTTGGATTAGTAGCTGCAATAAAGCCTTACACGAAAGTCAGCTTGCTAAAATTTTCTGAGTGCCCACTAACCAATTACAGATGCCCTAATATCTAATCGATGTGATAAGACCCGTCAGCTTTACTTCTCTAAATTTCACAGTGTTGATCTTCAAGGTGTTTGTGAACTCATGAGTTGTTTTATCTCCTGAACAATTTAAGTTCCATTTAGGTCGGTCGACAGGATGTGTTCAGCAAACAAGCCATCAGCAAATTTGCATTTAAAATCAACGGATATTTTTACAAAATATCTCATTGCCAATTTTTTTTTATTTTGTTTCTGATATTTAGGGATACTGCTGTAACCCAAGATAAAAAAATATGATAAGAAGTCTTTTCCCATTGCTCGTTCTGCAGATGTGGAATGTGACAGTTGGCGGCGATGCTGCCGCACAGGGTAACCACACAATTACACAGTCATTGAATTTTGAGTGTCTCAAATTACGGTCAGCGGTTAATTTGTTTTCTTTGCGATTAAAAGAAACTTGTAACCGTTCACTTTTTTTTAAGACTAACGGTTAATATTCCTCAACTTTTTCTCTAACGTCTATAACTTTTTTTTGCTGTTTTACGGCTGACGGTTAACCCTAATGAGACCTTCAATTTTATTTAGACACTGAGGGTGGCATTTTGTAAAAGGCAAAATATTGCACAATGACAATGACAAAGAGCTACAACAGCAAGAGTGACAGTGGCCGTAGCGATAAGAATGACAATCGCTTAAACTTTGCTCAGAAAGTCGCCATCGAAGTCAAAAGTCGCGTAGTTGCAATAC